GTAGACGGTTAAATTCAATGGCCACTGGCAGGCCCCAAAATTTTTAGTTATATTAAATGATGCCCAACGGCACAGGTATCTCCATTTTATTCAAAATAACTAATCCTTTGGAATAAGCAAAGGATAATGGTAGAGATTTGAACACTACGCAATCTAGTACCGTGAAAATTTTTCGCAATTGCAAATGTTGCAAGTCACATCAGTCTATTGTAAGTAGAAGCAGGTGAACTCGGCAAAGCTGATAAAGATATAAACAACCAGACTTATGAAAGTAATCACTAGAGAACAAAATATGTGAAGAAAGCATACCTGTTGTTCTGAACTGGATAAGACCCAACAAGAACAGATTCTTTGAACTCCTTCGCGAAATCACTCAGACGTTTGGAGAGATGGGTTTCCTCCGAGGTGCTGTAGAAGTTTTTGTCAAAGAAGTGCATGTTCGGATCTCGAATGTATGGCTATCAAGTAAGGGATGCCAATTCTAAGTAAATACAAGGGAAATCAAAGGACAAGTGAAACAAAAATCCTATACCTCATTAAACCTAACGTAGAGTTGAAAACAGCTGACCTGTATATAAGGTAAGACATTAAAAAGAGATGCAAAAAAATAGGAAATTCATGGAAAACCATAAGGACATCTATAGATGTGACGATTTGATCGACTGCACCACCATTTAACAGACAGGCGCAATGAGACACATGTAACCAATAAGATTGCAAGAAAGAAGGCGAATAAAAGAGTAAATCTAAGGAAGCATGATTGGCTAATCGCGAGAGCCGAAATGTGGAGAACCACATCTATGAAACGTAAAAACAGGAATGCAATATTGGCAACTTATGCCCAAACTCAGCCATATCTAGAACATAAAGTGGCCTGTGGCCGTCGTTGGTAGTTTCGAGAGTGAAGAAATGACTTTCAAGAAATTGATGTTATTTCAAAAGCAATAGAACAGCTTAAATTTTCCAAATCGGTGAATTATCTGTGATAAACGGACAATCAGTTCTGCAAAACGTGAATACCGGTGAATATGCAGTGCCATTTGATGGCAAGACAGCAATGACTACCTGGTTCCCTGCGGAATATTAGGCATTGCTCTAAATTATTCTCAACGCATCGATTAAAAAATAAGAGAATATGCCAACGAGCAAAACACAATTATACATTATGCAATTCTGATATGACAGAATAATTCCCAAGGCTTAAATTAATAAACACGCATTTTGAATGATAAAGTAATAGGCAGATTATATCGAAGGATGTGCAAAGTTACCGATCACAATGAAGACCTCGACTACATTATTCTTGTAAAAAGTCTGGATGCAAGTTGTCAAACGAAATACACTACAGGATAAAGTATTACTATAGGTTTTCACGTAACAATGATCAGCTAAAAAGTGCGTATCCATTTTAGTGACAGCTAAGGGATAACGAACCTTAATGAAAGCAAAGCCGAGTTGAAAGAAAGGTGGTAAACCCGGGAGAATGAAAACGTTGCGCACAGTGAGCACGGGATACTCGGATTGAAGACCCGTCTCTGGGTCCTGACCGTAAATCAACCTCGACGAAGCAGGTACCCGAGCCAACCGCAACCGATGGTCGTCCTGCGGTAGATCCATTGCTTTGCAACCAAACATTAACTCAACAAATTTTAGTAGTGATGGGTGCAGCACTAGACTCTCTCCAAAGGCATCCGCCACAGCTACTCAAAAGAGAACACCAGTTTACAATGTTTCAATACCATGGATATAAAATCTACACTTGAAGAGTGCAAAAAGGAGTCACGTGAATTACGTAACGTGGAAGTGCAGAATCTCAAGTGATGACTATCATTAATAAAAAAGTTCGAAATAAATTCAAAAGCAAACATAGACAAACCTTCAAAGGTCAGATCATCATGTGTCGTTCCGATGCCCCCAGAAGTGACGACGACGTCATATTCGTTGCTAAACCTCTGAATCTCTCTTGATATTACCTTTACAACATCGGGAATAATTGAGACTCTTTTCAACTTAAGGCCACACGAGGGAGCCTGCCGTGCAATAAAAGCGAAATTGGTGTCGACGACATCTCCACGAAGTATTTCATCACCAATGACTACAACCGATCACGATGTCAATGAGGGCAAACCAATCACTCCTAAAGTCTTATTGAATTTCATAGGAGTTGTGTTGAAATTCGACAGGTACTTCATTGAAGCTGCACCAAATAATACCATTGCACAACCAGGCAGTGACTTTCTCCTAAAAAGTATTTGTAAAAGTACCGGCTGATAAAAGTGACACCACGTATGCGCATTAACACTTAACAATAGACTCAACAACAAGTACAGCAACTGACAAAATTCATACCGCCTACAAATATACTTAATCCGCAGACAAGCTAACAAATTAATAATGAAAACGGAAGTTACAAAAAAATAACAGAAAATAACAGCCATTATTCGCCTCTGGCACAATAAAAGATATCGAAATGTGGCACTCGAGTGTAGTAGCATAAGTTAAGTACAAGTTGCTTGCATAACATCACGATTACTGAAGACGCTGTTCATATTTTTGGAAACGAAGTGTGCCAAGGCACTTATTATACAAATACTGAAAAACATAACAACGCTATGGAACCGAAGCGCCCCAAAAAGCCCCTCAGCCGCACCAGTTAAAAGAAGGAGATCTTCTCAAAGGTCATATGATGGATGAAAACAAATTTTGCCCAAATATTTATACATATAGCAGAAAATCAAACTGTGCTTTATTTATTTTTCGTTTCATTAGAGCTAGTTAGGAATAACCAAGCAAGGTATAAAAATTTGGTTTTGCACATTATACTCAGATTTAAACTTCTACAACTTTTAGCTAAAGGTTGACAACCGCTACAAGTAGTGATCTCCAATGTGCTATATAGCCTTTGTTGAGTAAATGGGTTCCAGATTAGCGCACAAAGTCTAATACCTTGACGTGTTCCTAACATTGTCTCAGGGTAGCTCACTGTGACTTCACGCTTGGTAATACAAGACATACGACTTAGCTGGGAACTTGAATTCATGGAGCTAAAAAGATATATGCTCTGGTTTGGTTCCGCATCAACCCATTTAGCAAAAGCGAGGTGAAATTCTAGTCATACAAGTACTCAAACATATAATATTGTCAGTGGACAGGGAATATCATTTTGCAGCTGAATTTCATATTTGCAGAAATCCCTCGCAGTGCGAATTAAGTCAATGCAACTTAAATAAGTATCTAAAGTCTTGTCGTGTTCTTCTTGAAAGACATTAACACCTGAGGCGACTGATGTAAGTAATACGACTTTCATTACCTAATTTTTGCGATAAACTGTAGGTCATATAATCACTTTACTACTTGACTGACCATCAAACCAAGTCAAAGGCTAGTTTCTTATTCACATCCTAGAGTATTTGTGTTCAGCTCAACTCAACGCCTTCTTTTATTAAATGGGAAGTCTCAAGGTACTACAGTGGTGGTAGCAGAGAGCGAACTCACTTTTTTAGCAACTTCTACTTTGTTTTTCATCATTTGTGACATAAGTCTGCCACATACCATCCGGGTGGGAGATTCGTGGAATTTCACACCACAGAAGAAATTAAAGGTGCAATACTTTGTCCATTTGACCACATGATGTTTGGCGGTCACTTTAGGGATTTGTCTGGCCCTTGTACACGTGGGCTGGCCTTCGGGTCA